TGGGGAGAGGAAGAGTAGAGTTGAAGAGGATAGAGAACAAGATAAACAGGCAGGTGACATTTGCTAAGAGAAGGAATGGGTTGCTGAAGAAAGCTTATGAGCTCTCAGTGCTCTGTGATGCTGAGGTGGCTCTCATCATTTTCTCTAACCGAGGCAAGCTCTACGAGTTCTGTAGCAGCTCTAGGTATCTTCTCCTTTCTCCTCTCTACCTAATTCATACATACACATGTCGTTTAGACACTAGAGAGATCTGTTCTTGTGTTTTTCTTTTCTCTGCTTTCTTCATGGGCTTGTAGCTAGGTTTCCTTTGATTCTTTCTTCTGTGCTTCAGACCTAACTTCTTGATTCTCTCTTTATTATTAACGTCTTTTTTATTGTTTCTGTTAATTGGATGAACCAAAGTCTGATTGGTTTTGAGAAATTGGTCAGACTTTCAAACTTTGTTTTTCAAAAAAAAGGATTTTCATTTTCTCTGTTATATATTTACCAAAAATTTTCGTGTTATGATTTATGTATAAAGGTAAAGCTTGATTAGGGTTTTCTTTTCATTCTTTTTTTTCTGCTTAACTTATCAATTCTCGTCTTGAAAGATCTGAATGGGACCTATTGCCTTTTTCTTTTCTTCAGCTGGAAATCTTCATAATTGATTAGTTTTTTTGGCTATAAAATTTTTCTAACAAAATAGCACAAAAAGTTTTGACTTCAAATCTTTTAGGTTTTCAGTTTTCCTTTTGGAAATTGATTATGATCTGTTTGTTGAAGTTAATTAGGTATAATAATTATAATTTAATTAACGAAAGTAATCAAACCAGTTCTCTTGCTTAAATCTTGAGTTTTTTTGGGTGTGCTATGTTTGTGCGTCTGTGCTGTGAGAGAAAGAAAAGCAAATTGTTTGCTATAAAGCCCGTGATCCTGATCTATATCATATATATATATATATATATATATGTTCTCTGCTTGATAGAGAAAATGATAAGGTGACTTGAGGAAACTTGCATATGTTAATAGAATTCATTATGTTTTTTTTTTTCTGAGAGTATTTTGGTTTATATATATACATATGTACACTAACTTACGTTGTTTCTTCTGAAAGGCTTTCACTAATCGATGATATTTTTAATAGTATGTTCAGTTACAAAAATTTAGGGTTTATAATTGTATAATAGCTTTTTGTGTCAAAGCTTTCTCCTTCTTCTGTTTCTTTGAACTTACCTGAAATCTCTCAGTCCTATTGCTGGCTATTATTTAATTTTATCAACTTTGTATTAAAAGTAATGCATGCATGCATATTTAGGTGACTTGGTGAAAAAATCAAATTAATCAATCACCATACATTACTTGTGTTCTTTTATATAGTTAAACTAATTTATTTTTACATAAATATCGAAGACTATTTTTTTTAAAAAAATTCTAACAATAAATTAATAGTAATAAATTAATCTCCTGGGCCAAAACACACTGGCTGTATATTATATATATATATATAGAGAGAGAGAGAGAGCCTGTAGTATCAACAAACTTACAATAAATCCTACTGGCTGAAGATGAAATGGTCAAAATGGTTGTGGAAAGTGAAGTGACTGAAGTGACTGACGCTCTTTTCTTTTGCAATCAATGCAAACATATATATATATATATTTAAATATATATATATTTAAATATATGTATATAAGACTGCAATTTTTTACCTCCTTTACAAATGCACGAGGGAGCCAAATAATTAGAATAGGAGGTGATGATCGTCATTGTTTCATATTAATTTTATATCCAATTAGGTCTTACATGAAGAAAACAAAATTAAAGAAAATTTTGAACCATTACTTCGCATATTTTGATGTTTAGCAAACCTTTCCAAAGTGTTTATGTTACAAAAATGAGTAATTATTTTATATAATGGGTATACAATATACTCATCATATAAAATAATTTCTCAGGTTAAAGTATACAAAATTTCTTTATCAAGTACATTTAGATTAAGGAAATCTCTTAACTTATATGGAAAGGTTAACCATTTCTATATTGAGATTAGGAGAAATCTTTTCACTTAAGAGTGGTCAATAAAACAATATTTATTTGGTCTCGAGTCCATACTTTAGCTAAAATCTATGTATATATATATAATAACTTTTACAATATAATGAAGAAATTGAATTTTATAACTAATGGCTATAACTTGATTTTCTTCTTCTTCGGGTTTACCATATCTAAGAAGGTAGTTTGTTTGCTTAAATATATTTAGAATAAAATATGAAGTTTATAAGCTCCAAATTAATGTAAAATTTGTTAAAGCATTTTTCTTCTCAGAATAAGTTATTAGATTTTAATTATTAAGAAAATACAATTTTATAAGACGTATTATTAGTTTATTCACGTATTTGATATCTTTTTGAGAAAAATTATGCTTTTTTTGTGTTTGGTAAAAGTATATCTTATAAGCTAGAATTCTACCAAAAAAAAAAAAAGAAAACAATTGTTTTAAATATTTGTGACTTGGGATTATGAATTTTAAAATTATTTGAATCCACATAAATATTTACACCTTCAACACTTCCTTTTTCAAAAGAGTTTATAATCTCTTTAAAATCAAAATTATTTTCTATTAACTTCTTAAATAATATATTGTAATAATTTATAAGTTACTTGATAATTCACTATCTAATAATAATTAAAAGATTATTCAACTTAAACAATATAGTAGTTTATAGACTATAGAGCTTATAAGCTCTTCAAGAGTCTATAAGGTATTCATGTTTTCTTTTAGCAAGCTTTTAAAATATAGCATAAGCTTATAAACTATTAGTTTATTTATATATTTGCTAAAAATATACTTATAAGTTTTTATATATGTTAATATAATAAGACTTCATTTTTTTATATATGCATATGTTGCTTTCTCTATTCTAAAATATCATATCATTCACCATCTTTTTGGCCATCAAAATTGCATCTATAATTAGCATTCGTTTCATAAAAGTATGTTGACATCTACCAATCACTTTACTAATCACTTCTGTTATACTTTTAGCCAAAAAATTTTGCGATGTACTTGTAAATATTCTCAACTAAGATGATAAGATGAATGTTTTTAATATTAACCACTCCCTCCACTTAACAATTAATAATAAGAAAGAGAAATTTAAAATTTCACAATAGACCTATCTTATGCAGTTTTTTAAATAATTCGATAATATCATTTTTTATATACCAAAATTTATGCAAAAAACTCACGTTAAAATTATTGGGAGTAGGAATTTTATCTTTACTGTGCATAAGTTATTTAAATATTTTCTCTTAAGTGAACTCTTTTTCAAGCGATACATGACTCATCTCATCTAAGGAATTAAAATTGATACCATCCAGCTTATGCCTTCAACTTAACTCTTTGCGGTACAAACTA